GCCCTCGGTGCGCGCATTTGAATATGTATGGCACCATTCTATGCAATGGTTGCCATTTGCCGATTTTCTATCGAGAATGGGTGCCAGGCACCATCCGCTCCCAAGTTAGGAGAGGGCAGCCAATTTGGCTGGACGGACTCAAAGCAGTCCGTGCCAACAGCTGGTATGAAGGGGAGACTGACGTGTGGGCTCCTCTCATGGCGTCGGTAAACCCGATCCGCGAGGTGGTCAGCTGTATGATCTCCGGTTTGCGCTGTGCGCCTCATCTTGTGCACAATCCCAATGCGGATACCGTGCAGGTTGCATTTCAGGAGGTTGGGAAAGTCACCTCAAGGGACACTCACGCTTGTGTGCGTGCGAGTGACGAGGCTCTCGAGCGGTGGGTAGCAAAACAGCTACTCATCGAGGAGAGCAATACTGGCGTCCCGATTCCCGACAATATGTCTGTCATGACATATTTGGTCGAGCACCCGCAACAGGCGGCGCAATGGGGTCGTCATATGACGAGAAAGGGCAGTCTAAATTCAGCATTTGCTCTTTACCTCTCTGTGCATATTTTTGATGCCTACCGCATCGGGATTGAGGACGGATATCATACATTTATGTCGAAAATAACAAGGTTGACATGGTCCCCGCTGCACAGCGCGATGGCCAAAGCGCCATTGTTTTTGCTGACCCGCCGTCTGGGAAGCACCATAGGCGGGCAGCCACTCCTAGGGGAGATCATCGGTCAGCTACCCCGCGACCTGACCACAGGGAAAAGGGAGATCAACGAAAGGGCAATGCCCCTGCGCACTCCTGGCCCAAGGGTGGAGGTCACAAGGGTGACCAGTTCTCCGGCAAGGGTCACAAAGGTGACCAATTTACAGGAAAGGGTCACAAGGGTGACCAGTACAAAGGCAAGGGTGGCCAATACGGCTACCAACAAGGGCAGTTCGGTCGTGGCGGATCCGCCAGATCGAGAACTCCCACTGGCGGGTATCAGCCTGATGCTCGCGAGTCGGGCTACAGGGGCGCACAGGCTGCTCCTTTCCCGTTCCCAAGTCCGATATATCCCAATTTCCCGCTGGGAGGATACATGCAACAGCCCATGGCTGGCATGATGCCGCAAATGTGGCCCGGCGCAATGCCGCGGGGTTGGCAGCCGCATATGCAGGGTGATCCCCGCGAGTTCGAGAATCCGAACTCGCCGGATACCCCTACCTGGGGTGACGATGACGAGTTGGCCGAGACAGTGCCTCCTCCCCCTGGGGACTGGAATGTCAACAAGGGGAAGGGACGGCGCGGCGGCGGACGACATCGGTAATACCTGAAGTCTGTCTGTGTGTTTTGCATGGCTGCGCCAACGCGCGCATGCTTTCATTTCGGAATTCACAGGATGGACTATGCTCCTTGTCGTATTTCGTTGTCTGGGCTTTTCGCCATTTCAGAATTCATCTGCATGCGTGGCTGTGCGCTATTCGCGCAAGCTGCGATTACCCGTCAGGTGTGCGTCGCCACAGCAAGGCAGTCACCCTCGGCGGCGTATATGGCCGCTGGTGATCTGCATTCTCCTGCACCGCTGCTGCTGCTGGTGATGGAGCTCATCAAGGTGCCGAGGTGAGGATCACGGATGCCCCGCACCGCTGCCGGTGAGGTCCTACTCGGACCTGGACCGCCGAATGCCGCTGGCGGTATCCCTGGAGGTTGTCTTCGAGTGATCGCGCGCCTAGACGGTGCCGTTCAAGGCCGAGATATTTCGGTCTATGCACCACGTTTCAACCAGCAAGCCAATGCGCTGTTGACAATATAATTCAAGCCCTAAATCCACGTGAATCTAATGATTCAATGTGGTTGCATCGCAGATATTTCATGCCTGCCATTTTGGAGTTGAGTCTTTGTTTCTTTCCTTCTTTTGTTTCTCTTGGTTGATTTGGCTACCGGCGTGATCCGCCCCATACCCGTAATTCGGGGTGGTGGCGGGATCCGGGCTCCAAAGCGAGCCCGGGTATGGGGTCGCGAACCCTGGTAGTCTAATCGTCTTTGTTCCTTATTTGGTGCTATTCAACTTCAAATGGCCAATGCGCCTTTCCAAATTCACTCCTTCTCTTTGTACAGTCGAGGGGGGTGTTTTTGGGGGCATGTACTTTTATCATAGCATGTTTGCTCATTGCCATGGCCAACGCGCCATCTGGCTCAAGCTTTTCCTTACGGCATCCTAATCTTGCCATAGCGTCAACTACCCGCGCACGGCGCCGCGGCGGTCTCGTGGAAAAGGACACCACGGGCTCGCCAGCCGGCGGTGTGGGGCCGGCTGGCTGTGGGTCAGGACTTGGGGTGGTAGGGTCGCGCTCTGGTTTGCTTTGCTTGCTTCGCTGCATTGTTTGCCTGCTTGGTTTGCTGCTTTGTGCTTGCTTTCGGTTGTCTCTGCCCTTGCTGGGTTCATTCATCTTTTGGTTAAAGGCACCCTGTTTTGGTTCGTTTGTTGTGCCAGCCGAGGGCACCGCTTTGCCCTTGGGACTGGGGGACTTAAACAATCTCTTCTTGTTGGTGGGATTGGGCCTGTTTATTCTCTCCCGGAACTCTGTTTCAAACCCTTTCGCGCAATTCATTCCAATTATGTAGCCTCCTATATATTAGACAAGCTGAGGATTGCTCCGGGCAAGAAAGTATCTTACGTGGGCCCATTCATTGCATTTATGCTGGCATGAAGGCTGGGCGATTAGGCAGAAGATTGCTTGGTTTCGCAAGCTTGCGTCATGTGGGTGGCGTGGCTGGTTCGTCGATGCTGCTTGCTTGGCGCTTGTGACGCGTTATGTTTGTCTGCTGCTGATGACTCGGACGGGCGAAAACCACGCGTGCCATCTTGGCCTGTACCGTTTTGGTTTTTGCGTGCAGCTGCGTTTGGGGGGTATAGCGGCAGCATCGCCCGCAACGTTCCCCAATCCCGAACCAAGCCCCCCTCCCAGGCCCCGAGCCCCTTCAAGCCCCACCCCGACCCCCAATACGCAACTCCCACCCCCAACTCCCCCCAAGCAACCCCCAAGCCGAAGAAACGCTAAGGTGAGCATTTGCTTCTCCAAGGGCCTTGGTGCGCCGGTGGGCTCGGTGCTTTGCGGCCCAACAGACTTCATCGCGAAAGCCCGGCGCCTGCGCAAGGCCGTGGGCGGAGGCCTCCGGCAGGCGGGGGGGGGGTAATGTTCGGGACACGGGATCCGGTCCCTTAAGGAAATGGTCCACACCAGGACCCCTCACACGTCGAACCGTTCCATTGGTGGGAGGGTAGCGTTTGGCCCACGGAACGGCCAGATGTTGGCCACTGAACTTTGCAAGTCTATATGAGTTGTCGATTTAAAGCGACGGAGCTGTGGCAAAGTCTCAAGGGTCTTCTCCACGGCTGTCTCGCTTTGTCTCTCTTCTGCTCCATGTTGCCTGATGTTGGAAAAGATGCAACACATCCTATCAGAAAGCTGAAAACGGCAAATGTTCGTTGGTTGTGCTTTGCGCTTGCTTCCAGAGCCGAAGCGAATGAGTTCTTCCCTACTGGCCTCCTGGGCTACGTGCTGCATATGCGAGAGCTGCGGACAGAAAACCTTGGAACATAATCCATACTGGAGCCAAGCGCTTTTGAGTCCCTACAGCGGTCCCTGTTTTGGAAAACCAACGGCAAGTCACCCACTTTAGTTAACCCCTCTGAGACAAACCTGTTTTCAACCAGCGAGCCGGAAGAAAAAAGGTACCTCCCCAGGTGGGCGTGCTAGCAGCAGCCCAGCTGTATGCTTTGGACCACAACCTGGAGAGACTCCACGAGGACCACGCTGCTGGGCTGAAGCTTGCACTCGGTCATGTCTCAAAATAGGACCTCCCCCCCCAAAACAGGCACTCCAGAGGCGACTATCCGAAAGGATGCCTTCATAAGCACAGCCAAATAAATTGAGGGCTGTCCTTCGGGACTTCCCCAGTATAATGGCTCCAGAATGTCCCCGCCCCAAATCCAAGATTGTCTAAGAGCCCCGACAGTGACTATCACTGTCGGGGCAGCAAACTTTAGGCCCAAAGTCCAGGATTTCTCCGATTCCTCCAATTTCGTATGCCAAACATATCCCAAAAGGGGGCAACAACGACCACCCTGGATGCCGATGAACAAGAGGTTGTGCTACAGGAGTTGTCTTTACTTCTCTTTTTTTGTCGGTAGCTGAGGAAAACGCGTCGCGGTTGGCTGCTGGGTTAAAAGCCTTGGGCTTGCACGTGCTTCCAGCTCCCACGAACCATTGCCAGATTTTACTTGCGTTTTGACTTTTGCTTTTGTGGGTTTGTTCAATTTTCTTTCAACCAAAAGCAAGTTTAGTTTTTTGCAGGGGGTCTAAGTCTGGTCAAGGAACATAGTCTTCTTCGACGTGGACGAGGCGCCACAAGTCGTGGCAAGTCTCGGGCAACGGGGCGTGCGGATTTTGTGCACCGACGGCCGGCGGCGCTGCCGGGCTGTGACTCACCTCCACATCCGCTCAAAGGACATCGACTACTTCCTGACTCAGATCAGCGAGATCCTCTCGAAGTGAGGGCACTGGGTGTGTCTTTCTGTAGTGACCCTCCCCCGCCCCCTCCAAAAAAGGGGCTCCCCTGTAAAGCCGACCAATAGAGGGTGCCCGCGGTTGCCCAAAAAAGACAAACCCGAAGTAGAGCTCTTTCAAACTTTGCCGGACGCCGACTCGGCGACCTTGTTTCGCTCCTAAGGGAGCTGCAAGCCCAGAGCGCTGCGATCAGCGCTTGGCTGGCGCACGTCGGCATGGAGAAAATCTGCACGCAACTGGAATCAACTGCTCAAAGGGTGTGTGTGTGTGTGTGTGTGTGTGTGTGTGTGTGTGTGTGTGTGTGTGTGTGTGTGTGTGTGTGTGCGCTTGCTTTGATGGTATACACGTTTTTAAGTTAATTTTAGGGAGGAATCCAACCATGTCAGGGGTTCCGGAACCCATTTTGTGACACATCCAAATAGAAATGGCAACATGCAATTTGGTGCCGCAGCCCTGTCGAAATGAGCCTTGGGCATCCCATCCCCGTGACCGATCTCCATGGCCGACCCCCCACTTCGCTCACCTCGGCTGGCGCGGCGCGCCCCAAAACGGCCGAACCGGCCGGGCGCGGTCGCTCGGCCGCGGTAACGCCCGCGGCCTTTGCCGCGGCGGCGGCGGCTTGCGCTTCCCCCGCCCGGCGGCTTCGGCGCTCGAAGCGGGCCTCGCGGCTGCTTCGGCACGCCGATGGCCGGGAGGCTGGGCTGCCGCGTCTTTTGGATGGCCATGATGGCCCGTATGAGCCGCGCTGATGGGAGTTCCCTCCAGTGTGATGTTTAAATGGGGGGGGGGGGGAAAGTCCTTTTAGTACCTCCACACCAATTTCTAGCAACTCATGTGACCCCACAATCCCAGAATGGGTACCTTGATGGGCTCTTCCAAGAGATTTGTCTGTGGGTTTGCCTTTCGGCTTCCCTACAAGCAAAAACATCGGGGACGGATGGATGCCTTACAAATTGCAGGTAAACCCACCATCAAGCGCGAAGCCATTTGCGGTCTTGTTCCCTCCATAGCTAGCCTCAGAACCCGCACCCAGCGCGCGATGCCAGGTGCTGGCGGCGCTTCATCCCGCGCTGGCAGAAGCCGCGGAAGCGGTTTGGCGGGGGGAGGTGCTGCTGGCTGGGCCCAAGGAGGAGATCGGAGGGGTCAAAGGCCAGGGATGGACTCACAGGGGAAACCCCTCAAAACAAAGGGGGTATGTTTTGGGACCGATGTTTTTGTTTATTTATTTACTAAGCTTACTTGCTCCCTTACTTAGTTACTTAGTTAGTTAGTTAGTTAGTTAGTTAGTTGCTTACTTGCTTGCTTGCTTGCTTGCTTGCTTGCTTGCTTGCTTCCTTCCTTACTTACTTACTTCTGTTTTCAGCATATTGGCAAACTAGAATTCGGGGCGGGGGGGTCCTTGTTCCTTCTGCTTATTGAGGGAGCATAGTGTCAACGAAAGGCACACGCATGGGAAAGAGCAGATTTGGGCAAGGGGGTCAACGATTGTCATTCAACTCCAATCAAATCCGGAGCAATTGAAGCTTTTGCCAGTCTCGCTCAGACAAGTTTGGCATGGGAATGGAAGGTGTCCTTCTCCAATCGGGCACCCAGTGAGTCATTGGAAAGGTTTCCAGTGGATGAAGGAATCTGATTTCCCATTCCTTCTTGTCTCACGCAATTGAGGCATGCATCAAGGGAGTGGCAGAGAATTGGTCGTTTTCCAGCCGTTTTTTTCCCGTGGAATCGATCCAGTATTCCGAAGGCGTGGCGGCTGGGGAGACCGGGGAGCCCCAACTCTTGCGGGAGCTGCAGCCCGACAGCTATGATTTGGTGCTGGAAGTGCAGTCTGATGAGGAGCGGCTCGCGAACCATGATGTGACTCGTTGTGTGGGGTGGATTCAAAGTGCAATTCAAGGGTAATGTCCTGATCATGATGTTTTTGGTCGGGGTTAGACTTCAGCAACCCTGTTGAGGTGCTGGCTGCAGGCTGGGAGGCATGGTGCAATCGCTTCTACCCGCTTGGGGGTCACTCGTTCAGCCTGGCAAACAGCTTCATCATCAACTTGGCCTCCATCGCCAAAGTGCTGCGAACTGGGGGTAAGTTCATCTTCCTCACCACGGCTGAGTCCAAAGACGAGATTCTGCCATTCGCATTTCTTCAGCTGCCTCATTTGAAGTGGCAGATCGAGCAGCTCCCGGCACACGCAAGCGGGGTCTCGGCAGTTTGCTGCACCCTGCAGGCAGATGCCGCCCAAGCTCTGAGAAGCACCCCCCAAGTAGTTGCGGAGCAATGCACAGCCGAGACGTCCCGAAGAAGATACTTCGAAGCGTTGAGGCCTTACTTGAAAGGAGACTTGGGCTTCAAGCTACTGTTTTGGGTTGCAAGTTGGTCGCCGAAGGTGCAGCTTTCTGAACTTCTGTAAGTGTCTCCTCCTGGGACCCCCAGGAGAGTCGGCGGCTTTGCGCATCCTGGACTATGGATGTGGCGATGGCTCGCTGATGTCTTGGGCGTACGATGAAGAGATCCTGGCCGAGGACGGGCCGCCTCCCGCGGTGACGCTGCTGGAGGCCAACCCGGAGCTGGCGGCGAGGGCGAAGGCCAAGCTTCGCCTGGCAGAGGTGATCCATCACGAAGGCAGCGCGTTTCCGTCGCCAGTCAGTTGCTTGCGGGTGCGCTAAGGCGAAGGAGAAATGGAAGGACCCCGAAAAATGTATCCCCCATGGTTTCCTTTAAGGGAAGCCGCAGGTTCATTCCCTCCCTGAGCACCACCAAGGTGGGGAGTCCAGGAATTGCTGGGATCGCAGAGATCAAGCCGTTTTGTAAGGCTGGGGGAAGCCCTTTTTTTTTGCGGCGTTCCGTTTGGGTTGCGGCGAAAGGAAAGATGAATTCACATTCTTCTGGGGGTTATTTTGTTTTTGATAAGAAGAGTTCTTTGGGCGGAGCTCCCAAAAGGTTGTTCCAAGGTAAACCACAGGGAACACTTCTTTCAAAAGAGACAAACCTGGGTTGTTCAAACTCAATCCTTGAGCCTAACCAGCAAAAACATGGGGGGGGGGAATTCGCACGGGAGGGAGCCAAAGTCCAAGGGCGGGTCAAGCAGCCACCTGTTAAACCCTTGTGGGAAGGCTGGGGGAGAGCCTGATCATTTGCTGCATTGAGCAACTTTGAGGAACCGAAGTCCAACAGTCTTGTCATTGTCCCCATGTTCGAAGCACTATGCAGTTGGGACCCTGACTCCAAGGTGATTGACCCTCAGGGGGCATATGCCTTTTCGAATCCTAAGAACGTCTGGCGTTTTGAGAACCCTGGCACTCTGCAATCCCACAGTGCAACACCACAAGGGGAACCGCGACCATCAAGCACAAGGATTGGCAACCCATGGGCAACCCATGGGCAAGCCCATACAAAACCCATGGCAAGCCCATGGCAAACCAATGGGAAACCGGCCAAGCCGCTTAGGCCCCCCCCCCGCCTCGCCAAACCCCTGAGTCGCATCCGGTCGGAGCCGCTGAGGTGAGGACTGGCCCTTCGAGGACGGCGCCTTCGACGTGGCGGTGGTGGCCTTTGTGCTGCACCACGTGCCGTTGGAGGCTCGGAGGTCGCTGCTGCGGGAGGCCCGGCGCGTGGCGCGGAAAGTGCTGGTCTTGGAGGACCTGCCAGGCCTGACGGCTGCAGGGGGGGGGGGAGGAGGGGGAGGGGGGGGAGGGGGGGAGGGGGTTGGAGTATTGAGGGTTTGGCAGGGCTTCTATAATTTGGGGAGCATATTTTTTTCTTTGGGGTTTGGAGGAGGGAGTTTGGTCGGCAGGGCAGGGAGGCCAGAAAATGGGTGATGTCATGTTGGTGTCCCTTGAACACGTCTGTTTGTATAATGTGGTTGTGTTTCAATTTCACTTCATCGCGAGTTTGTCTAGAAAATTGTGTTTTTTCCATAATCGGTAGCTTGAAACAATTCAAGCGAGGACAGTTGACTTGTTGGTTCCCAGCCATCCCCTTCGGTTCTCATTCCGAACTTACTCCTTTTGGGTTCAGTTGGTTTTTTTTCTCCAAATTTCGCCCACTAAACGCCTAGATGCGAGTCACTTTCAGCCGGGGATCCGAAGACGCCCTGCGAGGTGCAGAGGCAGCCAGCGCCCGGCTGGCCTGGCAGGTGACCCAAGAGCATTTCCGGCCGCGCCCCGGCGCTCCAAAGGTTTGGCCCTCCGCCCCAAGAAGGGACTCCAGAGGTTGTTCCAACCAGGCGCCGTGGTTGGCCAAACGGGTGTGGCTTGGTTTTTGGGGGAACCAACTTTTTGCGTGGTTGTAAAGGACACGACAAGGGAGACGAAAATCCATTTGGGGGTGAAAGAGACACACGCAAGTGCCATTTGCTTAATGTGGAAGCATCTTGGGGTTCAGCAAGGTGCGGTGCAAAAAAGTGTGCTTTGCGGTGAGGCAGGTGTGTTGAATCACTTTTGCCTTCCATCAACCGCTGGAGCAAGCTGGAGAACGTGATCTCAGAGATCTGCATTTTGAGGGCAGATGTTCGATATTCGGCCCCAAGAGCCAACCACTTGCAAGAATTCGGCACCTTTCAAGGGAACCAAAGAGAACCCCAACAGGGGCTCCGAATGGCCGTGGGTCATGCATGTCACGTTTCGGGTCTGTGTGCGGTTGTGTGCGGTTGTGTGTGTGTGTGTGTGTGTGTGTGTGTGTGTGTGTGTGTGTGTGTGTGTGTGTGTCCGTGTGTGCGTCTTGTTTTATATACGGTCTATGAATATTAGAGTTTCTCCAGATATAATGATTTGCCTTATTCATTGTCATAAAACATCACAAACGAGACGACAATATAATAGATGACTGTTGGCTTATATATGTTTGAGGGTACTTGTCATTGGGTTGGTTTACAGTGAAACTGAAAGGATCATTGGTTGTACTTTGTGGATTTCAAGCCTTTTTGTAGAGGATAACTGGGAACCCGAACACCTCCAAACACCAGTCCAAATCACCCATTGGAAGCTGACTTAAAGGATGCCAGGGGTCTTGGGATCCCTGATTAAGAGGCTTTCCTGGATTTCCTTGAACACACGTTTTTATCCATATGGGCGCATCTTTCAAATCGGGATCCCCAAAATGGGCTTCGGTTTTCCTGTTGGTTTCCCTTTAGAACCAACCCAAAGAAAAAAGAAGAACAACACCCAGAGTGGTTTTTCCCTGACCAAAACCTTCCCATGTGTTCCGAGGTTCGGCCAGGACCCCGAGGACTTCCTGCCGCACGTCTGGCCTTGGGATCGGTGGCTGCAGCTCTTCGATGAGGCGGGCCTGAGCTCTCGAAGCTCGCGGCGCATTGCCGGCAGCCTGCGGTATCCGGTGCCACATATCTTGTTCGAATTGGAAAATAATATTTTAGCCCGTGTCTAAATCAAAATAACTTGGCTGTTAATAAACAAACAAGCTCAGGCGATATCCCCAACAACACCCCGCCCTCCCACAACCCTCGCAGAACCTCATGGCAACCCTCATGGAACCCTCCCTCGTGGAGCCCTATTTTAGCCTATCTGGGCTGAAACCATAGGTGTCAGAGGTCCGGAATAACTAGCTTTACGCAACTGACTCGTTTTGCTTGTCTTTGTCTGTTTGCTGTTTGTTTTTGTTTGATTCTGTTTGATCTTGTTTATCCCTATTTGATTACGAATTTATTTATAAGGTTCGGAATAGGGTTCGGAACCCATATGGGATTTAGACCTCCGTTCTAGACCTTGCTTAGAAACATGTTCCAGATCTTCCGTTCCAAACCTTGTTTATGTATATGTCTAGTTTAGAGTATTATTTCAGACGGTCAGGTGATTTGGTAGGTTATTAACCCCCTCCCCCCGAATACTACGCGTCAAAACTGGTGTTCGAGAGAAGCCTGAGGTGCTAAGGATGCTTGTTGAGCTTTGGTGGCCAGGGCTGCGTGATTTGTAATTATTGGGACGTGGATGGAATTGGGCAGCGGTTTTGTTGACAGATGTGTTTTTGGAAGGGCCTATTAATGTTAAGGGTTAACCCCGCCGCTGTTTATTTGATACGATGCGGTAACGGTTCGATGCCGTTCTTAGTCGGTATATGGTTGAAACGACCATGTTTATACGTTGCAAGCTAGCATTCCGACGTGCAAACCACTCGCGTAACCGTTTTAGACCCGTTCCAGACGTGTTTTGGATGTGGCGGAGCAATTTGCCACCAAGCCCACATACATATATATGCCCCATGTAAATAGTTGCGCTTTTTATGCGGCCCGCTATGCCGCCTAAGAATCCTTTAAGGAGGTGTCGTATGGTAAGGCCGCGCGTTCTTAGCCATTTTATCTATTTATCTACCAATCCATCTATTTATGATTACATATATCTTCTTAGAGGGCCGGACTAACCAACTTTGCATAATTGATTTATTTTAGACATTAGAATAATAATTTATATCTATCTATTTATATTTATATTTGTTTTTTTATTTGTTTTTGTTTATTTTGTTTATTTATTATTTGATTTTGTTTAGTTTTATTTGGTATAGGATTCGAGATTTATATATAATTTAGATTTCTATATTAGATTTTTAATATACTTATTTATTTTTATTTATATTTGTTTGTTATTTGTTTTTGTTTGTTTTGTTTATTTATTATTTGATTTTGTTTAATTTTATTGTTTTTTTATTTTTATTTGGTATAGGATTTGGAATTTATATATGTTTTTTTATATTAGATTTTTGTTATAAATTTGAATAGAAAAAAATAGTTTTTTTTTTTTTTAGAATATTATTGTAATTGATTATATGATTTAATAAATTATTAATTTTTAAATATTATATATTACAATTGGTGGATTTTGTTTATTGAATTTTGATAATTATTATTTATAATTATTTGGATATAAATGGTAATAATTTATATTTTTGTGCTAATATTTTTAAATATAAATTATTTATAATATTATTTTAAATTTGTATTTTAGATATATTTTAAATATAATTATTATTAATTTTATATAGATATATATTTTTATATAAATAATTAAATTTTTTACACGATTTATTTTATTTTTTAAGAATTTTTTAAGAACATATTATATGGTAAGATTATATATTTGTAATTAATTAATTTATTTATTTATTGATTTTTTGATTTATATATTTACTTATTTTATATTAAATGAATTATATTTGAGGATTTTTTTAGATATTTTTTAGAGATGTAGAGTAATTAAGTTTATATAATTGATTCGTTTTAGAAATTTATATTATTGTAGAATATTTTATATTAGAACATTGTTTTTTTTTGTTTGTTTGTTTGTTGTTTGTTTTTGTTTATTTTATTTGTTGTTTGTTGTTTGTTTTTGTTTTTTTTTGTTTTTGTTTGTTTCTGTTTTTTGTTTTTTGTTTCATCATTTTTTATATTTTTTTACAAAATATTATTGATTTATTGATTTTTATTATTGTTGATATATTATTATTTTTTGTTTTATTATTTTCTATTTGATTATTTTTATTCATTTATTTTTATTTGTTTATTTTATTTATTTTTTTTGTTTAATTTTTCTATTTGCTTTTACTTATTTACTTATATATATTTAATCATTTATTTACTCCTATATATTTTATTTAATTATTTATTTTTATTCTTGCCTTTATTCTATTTATCTCTGCCTTTATTTCTTATTTGCTTATCTCTGCCTATTTACCTTTCATTATTTACCTTTATTTATATATTTCCATATATTTGTTTCTACTAACTTCCGTTTGCCTTTACTAACTACTTGCTTCTATCTACTTACCTCGATTTATCTTTGCCTACTTCTGCTTCTCTTTGTCTCTACTTGCTTACCTCTGCCTGCTGATTTCTGACTGCTTACTTCTGTTTGCCTCTATTTACTTCTGTTTACTTATACTTGTCTTTAGCTACCTCTGCCTGTCTCTACCTACCTTTGCCTACCTCTACCTGATTCTGCCTACCTTTGCTTACTTCTACTTGCCTCTGCCTACCTCTGCTTGCTTTTGCCTACATTTACTTACCTCTGCCTATTTCTACTTATATTTGTTTATCTCTACTTATTTCTGTGTGCTTTTCTTTACCTGTGCTTATCTCTGTTTGTTATAACCTGCCTCTGCTTGCCTTTGTTTACCTGCCTTTGCCTACCCCTGCCTGTCTTTATCTGTTTTTGATTTTTATTATAGATCATTTTTTTTTTCAATTTTAAATAATCATTTTGGAATTTGAGTATTTTAAATGTTTAATGAATATTTATTATATATATATTTTAAATTTATATTATTTATATTATTTATATTATTTATATTATTTATATTATTTATATTATTTATATTATTTATATTATTTATATTATTTATATTATTTATATTATTTATATTAATAGAATATATATTGTATTTTATAAAATTTAATTAATTATATATTATTTATATATATTATGCATTTTTAATACTATTTTTTTATACATTAATATTATTAATTTATTTTAATATTATTAATTATTAAATATATTGTTTTTTAAATAAATCTTTATAACATATAATATATATATATAATTATAATATGAATCGAGCTCTATATCGAGTACAATCTTCGAAGTCGTTTCCAGCCTTGCTTAAAATTAAACAAACGGAATTAAATTCTCGAAAACATTCTAATTCTTTACTAAAATATATTAAAATATTATTCCAATTAAAACCAATAAATAAAAAATATAAATAATTATATTAAATTAATTCATTATAATTTTTATAATTTAATTTATTATATATTATTTTTATTAGTTAAATAAATATATTCTTAATAAACCATATTATTTTCAACAACGACCCAAAAACCATTATAAAACCAACAAAACCATTCAACACCATAACCATATATTATATTTCTAAAAATAATTCGAATATTATATTAATAATTATATATATTAAATTTAACTTATATATAAAAGACAATATAAAAAATATACACCATCCAATAAATCAATATAATTTTTGCTAAAAATCAAATTATTTCAAAATTCTTATATAATTAGTAAAGAAATTATAAACATATATCAATATATTTTTGTGTTCGGACCCAACCACTACATAACAAATATAACCCAAATATCATTATAGAAAAAAAAATAAAAAACAATAAAAATAAAAATTAAATATAACCCCCATTATCCTAATAAAATCTAAATAAATCAAATAAAAACAAAAATCAAAAAAATATATCAAACAAATAAAAAAATAAAAACATAAACAAATAAACAATAAATAATAACCAAAACCATCTATAATACAATAAACAATACAACCCAAATCTTCAAATCGAAATATTCAAAAACAAAATACCAAAAAATAAACAACATAAATATATAAATATAAAACATACATATACAAAAAATCAAACAAACAAAAAACAAACCCAACACCATACTAATGTACAAAAAAAACTATATACAAACCTCAATATACATCATATTTCATAATTTTCCAAATATCCTTTATCAATATTTATAATATTATAAACCAACTTAATAATAATCTTAATTCATCTTTTTATAGTTTTATCAACAAATTATAAAACTTAAAATAATTCCAATCAATATTATATATTTTTTTAAATATGGCTAGCCTCAAAATAGCCCAATATAAAACATCCATTACCAATCATTTATCAATTGAGCATATATTAAAAATTCTATTATACCTATATAATTACATTCATTATCATCACACAATTTTATTATTTATCTAGAAACGCATAGTTCACAAAAAGAAACAACAAGATACAGCAACCTCTACACGACACATTTTCCCGGCAGACAACCAGGCAGGGAAAGAAGAGAAGAGGAGAAAGAACAAGAAAGACAAAAACAAAGATAAAAAGAGAGGAAAAAATAAAGAGATAGAGAAAAAGAGAGAAACATGGGGACAGAGAAAGATACCTGTAATTAGTTTTTGCCCTATTTAAGTCTGCCAATAGGCTTCGCCGACTCTACTGGCATATATTTTTCGAAATCAATTCAATGTATTGTGAATTCAATCATTGGAATTCATGGCCTTAGGCAACTAAATTGGACATTCAGAGGCATTCTTACTTGGTTATCATAACCAGTGGGCAAACAAAACGCCGGATACTTGACATTGAACCCTATGGGGCTGTTGGAAAAGTACACGACCTGTTTGCGAGCTGACGAGACAAGCTGCCACGGCTTTTCATATGGGGATGGAGTTGTTTGTTTTTGAACAGTTTGTAGAGAGGCCTGAAAGACATGTGCTGCATGAATCTGCAGCTGAAATCGAAACTTACCCCATTCGTCTCATGCGCCTTGACGTACTTGTTGAGCTCGTGGAGTGAGTGGCTTTGCGTGTTGTTGTCTGGACTTACTCCGGCTGATGAAAAGCTTGGCTTGCTTCCACATCGAGTAATGCAGGTGTGTCTCCGATTTTGTGCTTGGTGCCCAGTTTCCCTTTGAAACTCTCACCCATGCGATACTTGTTGCTCTCTCCGGGCGTCCCGTCAGCTGGCTAACTAGATACAAGGTTTGCACGAAGGGTGGCCTTCAACAACGGTGCTGGCACCGGGTTTCAGCCAATTTCGACTGCGCCTCATGCGGGCATCTGTGATGGACATTTGTCCCAAAACTCAGGATGAGTGTCCATGCTTCCGACCCATACCAAAGTCCATGCCGTAAGCCTCACAACATTGACATATCTTTTTCGGGATGACAAACACACACTGGCCATCATCAAAAGCAGAAGAAAAACAAACAAACGGCAGGTAGCCTGGCATCATATGCGTGCTTGGCTTCATGCCTATCAGTCTGTCTTTCCCCGACCAACTAAAATTCAGGAAGGAGGAACGCAATGAACCGACCGCATCTTGAGACACGTGCGCGAAGAACCCGCAAAAAACTCAAAATAGATGGCCTGCTGGCTTCCATTGGAAGGCCTCCCAACTTAACATGGTGCAGTTGGAAGCAGAGTGCATGGACAGCCTCTGCCCGCAACTGGCTAAACCTCCCGTCTCCAATCCCTCATTTGCTTCGCCCATATGCCAAACAATGTTGGAATCGCTGGTTCGCTGAAATTTCCGGGTTCCCAAGCCTGGGCCTAGACAAAAACAACAACACTGATATCTAAATGGAACCACACAGAAAGCAGGGCAAAGGTTCAATCAACCTCACCCAGAACACCTACGCGTTCAAGATTCGACTCATTGTGCAGTGCGCTCTCGCCTGTAGGCATGAACAAACACATGGGAACCTGAAATAGGGAGACCCCCCAAAATGGCGGCCCTTGCTTCCCTTTAAACCAACCCCAAAAAGGGGGGTTGTTTCACCCTAAAAGCGCGCAGTGTCGATTCAGTGCGTCAGAGGCCCGGGCCCAGGAGTTGGAAGAGATCTTGATTGGCCTGACAAAACTCACAGACTCCCAAGCTCCGAGAATCGCCGGGGTCCAGATTACAAGCTAGGCAAAGAGGAGCACCCACGATGGAACTCACAGCGCCCCGCTGAACATCTTGCACCCCAAACCGCCAGGTTTCGTGTTAGTGGATGGGACCTGTCTGTGCCAAAAAAAGGAAGCCAGAATGAAGAAATTTGCAGAGGCAAACAAACTTCTCATCAAGGTGAAGGATCAAACTCATCCAGCAACGACATCCGACTGCGCGGAAGTCATGTTGCTGTTTCGATTATTTTGAGCAAGGTCCTTTTTCATCTTACTGCAAGGGTGTGTGGCTTGCTGTTCTGACGGAAAAATGTCGCGTATGCAAATCCGCAAACCCAGCCTTGGCTACATTTTCTGCATCCCGCTGAGTATGCAGGCGAAGAGGGTGTGTGAATCAAATGCGTTGCACACACACACACATGCATCGTATCATGAAAGCCTGGAACTGATTGAGCAGTGCTGTCTTTAGGAAGCTGCGTCGTGCGCTGAAAAATGCGAAAGATGAGGAACGAGCAAGATTTGGGAAATTGGAGCAGGCAGGAAAGTATCGCCCTGTCTGGACAAGTCACCTCGGTTGTGATGCGAACGGACTTATTTTTTTCATGACAAGTCTTTAAGAGCGTAATCAAGGTTATCAACCAAATGGGCACCATCAGTGCAGTGTTGCCCGAACGCCGCTCCGTGCATCGTGGCTGTTGAATGCCAACCCGACCCAAGAAAGCCAGCTCGGGCGGAGCTGGCAAAACGTTGTGTCTGTTTCTGATGCTTCTCAGCGAACAACATGCACCCAAGAAGTGTCCGGCCCTGAAAAAGAGGCAAAGGAAAACGTGAATCCCCTCCATTTCCTGTTCAATGGCAACTGTTCGACCAGAAGCCTTCCTCCCCGCACCTCCCGATACTCCGCTGCAATCTGCTCCAGGTCCTGCGAGTGAAGCCAACAAAACAAAAGCTTGCGACCAATGTTGCAAAAGGATGACGCCCACGAACTGTCACCAAACTTTCGCTATGGTGTCTGTAATCAGACGGCACCCGTGGCACCCCATGCTTTGGCAATTGTCAGAAACACGTCCGCTGCAAACTAGGCCGTCCCCCAAAACCCAGCGGGGGCGGGCGCGGGGGCGAGGGCGGGCGCGCGGGGGCGGGCGCGACGCGGGCGCGGGAGCGGGCGTGGGGGCGGGCGCGGGCGCGGGCGGGGGGCGCAGGCGCGGGCGTCCTGGAATGTGTTTGTAGCTACAGGTGCTGCACAAAAACATATTGTCAGTACGGCAGAAGCTTTCCGATTTGATACATGTTGGCGAATGAACGGTCGCTTGTCAAGCGACCCAAGAGGTAGAAAACGGGGCACCCCTTCTTGGGGTTGACCATGTTCAAGGGAACCCCAAACTGGCATGCACTAAGCCCTCATGTGGTTTTTGGTCTGGTTTGGGTCATTGCTCCCTTCTCAGGAATCCCCACTAGGAATCCTGACCTTTCTGTTGTGGGGTGTCTGTTTGTTGAGGGTACCCTTTTTGGTCGGTTTTAACAGGAAACCAAGAGGAACGCCGCCGCCATTTTTGAAATTCCCCCCAAAAACAGTGCTTCTCCTCCTTGGAGGGCTCAGCCTCCGCGGGCGTTGACTCGTTGAGCCTGCTGGGGGGGCGGGGGAGGGTGGGGGCACCCCTCCCCAAAAATGGTCTGAAAAGGGACACCCCTGATATGTCAGGCTTCATTCATCATGGGTTCCCATTACTCCCCCTCAGAGGGAAACCAAACAACTGGGCGACCAACTGGCAATTGACGGAGTCTTTTTGCGTGGAACCCACATGATACTTTGTGTTTTTTGTTTTTTCCTTTTTTCAGTGACCCGTTCATTTGCCAGGGATACCGCGTGATTGATAAACCCTTGATCTTCAGGGGTTTCAGTGTGCCCGGAAGAAAGGAACCCCGACCAAGAACTCCCTGGAGTTGTGCGTTTGTTCAGTGCAACTTTCAACGACCTGCCGAACCAAAAGCCTCGCATTCCTTGCAGTCCGAATTAAAAGCAGAACCAAAGGCTCGCGCTCAACCGACCTGGTGAGGTGAGCCAGAAACAAAAGAAGGGTGGCTCCTCTGCTTTTTCAGAGTACCCTTTGAGACTAAAAGACATCACCCATTTTGGGGGTTTCCCTATTTTGAGCCAACCCCGTATTTCCTTTCCTAAAATGATGAAGGAACCTGCCAACAACAAGTTGACAGGTTGCCTCTGGATCAGGTGAGCATGGCTGGTGCATCATATCTGGGCCATGGGGAGCTGCAAAAGCTTTATATATGGTAGATTTCAACTGTATTTTGCCCGACCACTATGTCGAGTTGAGCAAGTGGGCTGTTTATAAGCAGCTTGGTTGGCACTCGACCACAACCTTGATGCAGCTTGCTCCTCTGTGCAGCAACGCAATCAGATCAAAAAGTCTGTGGTTGTCTAAAAAAGCCAGGTTTGGGTTAATTATATTGGTTCACTGGCGTGCAGGCGGAAACAAACAAACATTGTTGGTGATCCCTCCCCATGCATCTGCAAGCTTGCTATACTTCCGAAACCTGATATGAGAGAACCTCAAGCGGTGATGGACCTACATCATGGAGAGCGCCGATACCCTCTGGGCGTACTTTCGCTTTGATACACCCAATCCAGTGATTCAGGTCCGCTGGTCCACGAAATGGGCGACTTATAATTGACAAAGCAAAGCGAACGTGCCTTGGCAGCTCAACCTTGGATCGCAAGGTGTCAGATGGAGGGTTCAGGACCTGTGTTTCAAGTCTAGCAATTCACGGAGCAAGTCGTTATGTCTCAAACGTAGACAACACTTAAGATGTGGATCCTTATTTGCAAGTTGTGCTTAGTTGATGTCTCTGAAACCACAGAAGGCAAGCAGTTGCGTCCGGAGTCTCGTGCAACAGAAGGCACTAGACAGACTGGATTTCAGGCTAGCTCAATCAGATGTTCAATCTGTATATGGGTGTTTTTTATACTGGCCGGCACCGTCTTGGTCAGCATGTCATAGGAAACCATCCATTGAATCATTGAATGGCAACCCCCATACCTACGGCAGTTCAATTGCAAGCTGGGAAAAGGTCCAGCTCTAAGCAAACAGCCGGCAAAATCACACACTTGTTTCAGATCAGGTATGCAGGGGGCTGATCACGCCTTGGCTACCAAACCTAATTGCATGCCATGCGCCCCTTTGATGGAGCACGACAAACAAGCAAACAAGCAACCAAACAAACAACCAAACAACCAAACAACCAAACAACCAAACAAGCAAGCAAGCAAGCAAGCAAACAAACACACACACAAAAAAACAAACAAACAAACAAACAAACAAACAAACAAACAAACAAACAAACACACAAACAAGCAAGCAAGCAAACAAACAAACAAACAAGCAAACAAGCAAACAAGCAAACAAACAAACACACACACAAACAAACAAACAAACAAGCAAGCAAGCAAGAAAGCAAGCAAGCAAGCAAGAAAACAAACAAAACAACAAACTCACAAACAAACAAAACACAAAACAAAATGAAATAAAACCATCGCAAACACACACACACACACACACGCGCACACATACACACAAGCACGCACACAAACACATGCTAACAAAACACAAAGACTGCTGTTGTTGTTGTTGTTGCTGCTGCTGCTGCTGTTGCTGTTGTGGCCGTTGTCGTCGTTGGAGTTGGTTCCGCTTGTGTTTGTTGTTGCTGCTGTGGATGTCGTCGTTGTTGTTGTTGCTGCTGCTGCGTGTGTTTGTGTATGTTTGTGTTTGTGTGTGTGTGTGTGTGTTTGGTTGTGTGTGTTCGCGTGGTTGCGTGTATGGTTTGGCGTGTGTGGCTATCCAGTAACATCAACAGCAACAACAACTGCAGAACTAGCCTAACAAATCAACCAACCAAACACACGCACACAAACAAACACAGCACAAAACGAAAAAAAGGAAAAAAACAGAAACAAAAAACAACAACAAAAAAAAGAACAACAAACAAACAAAACAAACCAGCAACACAACAAAACAACGCACCAAACAAAGCACCAAACAAACAAACAAACAAGACTAACAAACAAGACTAACAAACAAAGAAACAATCAAGCAATCAAGCAAGCAAGCAAGCAAACACACAAACACACAACCACAAACAACCACAAACAACCAACCAACCAAACAAACAAACAAACAAACACACGCACAACCAACCAACCAACCAAACAAACAAACAGGCAAACAACAAACACAAACAAACGGCAACAACGACAATCATCATCACCATTACCGTCATCCTCATCATCATCATGATCATCATCATCACCACCATCAGCATCACCAATACCTACACAAAACACAAAACACAAAACAAAGCAATGACACACACACACACACACACACAAACACACACAAACACACACAAACACACACAACACCCTCCTAACAAGCAGAGAGTTGGACGGCCGGACAGACAAACAACCACACAAAAAGAAAGAGGTTCAGACAGACAGACATAAACCAGACCAGAGCAGAACATAACAGAACAGACAAAGGCCCAACGACAGACAGAGAGATAGACAGACAAACAAACAGATGCACAAACAGACAGACGGACACACACACACACACTCCGAGGATTGGTAAATGTCACAAGCGGGTCTGCAAAGTCACCTCATTGCCCGTTACAGTTGTTCAGACTCTCACCCCAAAGACAGCAAACACGAATAACAAGAAGAGACCTTTGACGATTAGTGCGGGTTGCAACTCAAAACATCTCACCCACCAGCACAATACTGTCCCAATCCTTTTTAAACTAGGGGACAACCACCAAGGGCACCCCGTGCTTGACGGGTTCTTAGAACCTTGTATGGGTTTCTGAGAGTTTTCTGAGAACCTTGAGGGGCGGACATGTCTCTCCACAGGCTGCAACTTTTTGAGGTGTCACACGCTAGGAGCCGGTATTTCAGCTCCTCCGAGAGGGCCGTGAAGGCGAAAAAAAAGGTCCTCGGGCCTGCCCGTGGAACTCTCGCGACTTTGCGATGCGACAGAATGGCCAGGGGCCCCTCGCTCTCCTCGCTCTCCTCACGTACACAGCTTCTCAAGGTTTCCTCTTGGCAGCTGGAGCTTCCGCTCGGCAATACGGCTATTCCTAGCATAAACAATTATGAATCCGATGTGTGAATCACTTAAGGGATCTCTGCGGAACCTCAAGAAACCATGCACCAAGCCTTGCCATGTAGTGAAACACGGCGGGAAGCGGCTTGCTCTGAATGTGAGACGGAGCTTAGCGCTTCCTCCAAACTTGGGAGCTGTGGCTGGTACTACGGCCAGGACTTGCGCTACCACCGGTGGTGGACCACATCAAAGGCACTCGGCCTGCAAAGTAGGCCCACGGCCCAGAAGCATTCCCAAGACCCTGGCCTTATGGAAATGCCCAGATTCCACTGGCAAATCAGAGTGCAGATCCATGAGCACTTTGTACTCCAAGCTCGCGAGTCTTTTTGAGGGGTTGTTCAACGCAGCGGGTAAGACTGGCTTTGCTCCGATTCAGGACTTGGCCTTTCCTGGCCTTCCCAAAGGACCTGTGTTTGGTGCACTTGTTCCGAGAAAACCTGATTGGACACTAATACAGTAATACATGAACGTCGTGTTGGATGTTCTCATTACTTGTTTCTTGCTCGTTTGTTCTTTTTGTGGGGGGGGGACATGCGGAACATGTTTGGCAAGATTGAATCGTCTGCATGATGATGAAGGAAGACCGATGTCAAATCAAGGCACAGCCACATGCAAGCCGTCCCAGTGGTAATGCACATGTTCAGCAACAACACTATCGGCCGGGGCATGGTTGCAACGATCTGTGCTTCAATCGTGAGCATTACGCTTGCTCGCTTGCCTGCTTGCCTGGGTGCCTGCTTGCTTCCCTGCCTGCCTGCCTGCTTGTGGGCGTGTTGTCGTGAAAACCATATATGTATATATATATACACATATACAATCATATCTTGCATGCCTGACAGCTCAACCCCTGACCCCTCAACTTGAGCCGCAGAACAGCTTGCGACAAACAGTCCGGCTGAGAATTCACCTGCTCCTTGCTTGAGCAGTCGTTGAATCATTGTGTCAAAGTCAAGGTCTCCAAATGCAAGGCAGCCGTTGGCGCCTTCGCAAACTGGTTGCAACTTGCAAAACAGACATCCCCAAGAAGCCCTCATGGGTGAGCTCGTTCGAACCCCCCAATGAGGAGGCTCATCTGTGCGGAGATGTTTCCGCTGTCAATGATCACGCGTTCCCAGAGAGTACCCTGCCTCGTCGTGTAGCTTTGACCTTCCGATCGCTCTTGTTCCTGGGGCAAACGGAATGGCTGGCCATCCAGGCCCGTCTCATGAGCCAAAAAACACCCCCGAAGGCCTCGTTCACGTGCTAGAATTGCCGTGTTTTTGCTCGAACCTGGGAGAAGATCAGCGTTCTTGCCTCACATAGCCATGAAAGGAGGTAGGTGGGAACCGCCGACATCCCCAAACGTGGCTTGCCGGATTGTGATTCCATTGTTTGCGGGCAACCTTCTTGGGTTTTGCTTCAAAGGGAACCAAGAGGAAACCACACAAATTGGGGGGAGACAACTGGAGGGGGGGTGTTGCCTTTTGGATGGTTCTTCCATATTTGCTGAGTCTCCCTTTTTTGGGAGGCGAAAAAGCCATGCGAGAAATCCTGCTGCGTCTGCTGCCGAGTCTCCCATGACTCTCCAAGTGTCGCTGCAGCGCATGCGATGCCAATGTGTCATGGATCCGCACGTGGAAGGCCCGAACTGGACCTATCTGCTTTCGGAACTGGGTGGGTTTTGAGAATAGGGGTACCCACAAACTGGATTTCGGCTTTCCTCTTGGTTTCCCTTTCAAACCAACCAACAGGGCTTCCCCCCCGAGAAAACCAACACCTAACAAGATCAAAGGCGATTGATTCTCAAAAGAACATGCTGCCCTTATTTGGTGCAGTGAAACAGCTGGCTCCAACTGCTATGCTATCTCGAACTACCCCTGGCACCATCTCCAGCCAACTCTTCGGCCTTTGCGTTCTGCTCCTGAAATACGGGTGGCTTACAAGGCCAGCTCGAAGGTTTGGGTTGGGTCCCCTGAAAAGCATCCCACTTCCTGAGTGGCCAGAAAAGTCTCTGTTGGCTTTCCTCCAAACGGGGGTGTCTTTTGTTTGGACACCGCCTTGAAACCGAAAGGAAAACTGGCACTTTCGGGGTCTTCCTAAAACGTTTCAAGTCGAACTCGGGGAGTGAGACATGTTTGTGCGTTGGGGGGTTCCCAGTTTGGAAAGCAACTTCCCATCGGCCCAACCAAATGCTGCCGCGCCGCTTGCCATGAGGGTAAACGCCCGCCAGGGTGCGAAAAGGTCCTGCCGAAGTCACGTTCCAAATGCGGCCACGGCACGGCACACAGAGGCGAAAAGGAACACACTTGCTTGTTCGATAGGCGGGGATGGTTTCCTTTTGAGGGAATCCCTAGGCTCATTCCCAACGCCCGGAAGGTCATTCCCTACTGAGCACCAGCAATACAATGACAACTCAGGCTGCTCACATGGAGTGTAACATGCAGCTGGGACACTGCCTCATTCCTAGCTTCATCGACCGTGCTTGCATTTGTTAAGGGCTCTACGTGTCTCAGCGTGTCCCTCTCGTGCATTTTTCTCTCTCTCTTTTTTTTTTCTCTCTCTCTCTCTCTATCTGTCTGTCTGTCTATCTATCTATCTATCTATCTATCTATCTGTCTGTCTGTCTGTCTGTCTGTCTGTCTGTCTGTCTGTCTGTCTGTCTGTCTGTCTGTCTGTCTGTCTGTCTGTCTATCTCTCTCTCTCTCTCTCTAGTTCTTTCTGTCTTTTCTTATTTACTTCTTTTTGTCTTTCTCTATCTCTTTATTTCTTTCTTCCTTCCTTCCTTTCTTCCTTTCTTCCTCTCGTTCCTTCTCTATCTCTTTCCTTCTCTATCTCTTTCCTTCTCTATCTCTTTCCTTCTCTATCTCTTTCCTTCTCTATCTCTTTCCTTCTCTATCTCTTTCCTTCTCCATCTCTTTCCTTCTCTATCTCTTTCTTTCCTTCTTCCTTCCTTCCTTCCTTCCTTCCTTCCTTCCTTCTTTCCTTCTTTCTTTCTTTCTTTCTTTCTTTCTGGTTGTGTCTCTGTTCGTGTCAGCTATTTGCGTGTCTGTGTTTGCTTTGATGTGGTTATGAGGGCTTCAAGTCGGCAACCTTGTGATTATGCCCTTCTTGTATTTCGTTGCTAGCCGACACTCTTGCTCTGTTGAAATCCCAAACAAATTGCTAATCCTCAGCATGTACTGTGCCTTACGACTAAGCCAACCTACAGCAATGGTAGAATTCCTGTGACCACACATGTATTTGTATCCGGTTCAATACTTGCTTGAGGGTTCCCTGGAATTCCCCTGCAAACACCTGCAACTCAATCCACATTTGGACCAGCATTCATCAATGCTTCAGGATCCGTGAGCTCTAAAGCAGTCACCGGTCAGGGAGGAAACCAAAGGCCCCCAAGAACGGTCCCTGCAACAGTCTTAGGGGATAGGCTTCTGGGAGGACAGGAAGGCCATTGCTTTTTGGTTCCACTTTGAGCTGCAATCTGCTGAAGGTATGGGTGAAACAGCTGCACGTGTGTGTGTGTGTGTGTGTGTAACCCAACTAATCAATCAACGGTGCCAAGCCCGCTGGGATGTTTGGGCGAGGCAAACAAACAGACCGCACCTGTTCTGGTCTCTGAACAAGTCACGGAGCCGAACACCATCCACTCCGAACGACAAATACTTCCATCGAGAAGCCGCAGGGACGCTGAAATCGTCCTCAAACAGTCACAGTCAGATCAGACCAATGAATACATCAACAGTAAGCCCCAGCAAAGAAACACCTCGGTGTTTGGGTGGGTGTGTCTTGTATATATATATATATTATGTATATGTAGGTGTATATATATATGTATTTATATAGGACCCCCCCCCCAACAAAAATATGGTGGTGTTCCTTTTAGTTCTCCTGTAAAAGAATGGGTTGCTCTAAAAACAGGACACGTTTCTCAAAATAGGGGTCCTCTATACTGAATATCCCGAGTTCCCAAGCTATGCCTCGTCCAAGAACTCATCCAGCTCTGGAACCCAGTTCCTCGGAACCCGCCCAGTCCCAGAAATGGCTGGGGGTCCCCGCCTGCCTTTTTTGGTACCCGGTACCAAACCCACCGGCACAGGCTGCTTCTGACTCGAGCCCTGTTAACCCTCAATACCGAGTCTCTACCTGGGAACGAAGGGACCCGGGAAGCTGACGCCACCAGCTCTGGAATACGAATGTGGCAATATCGTAACGTGTTTCTCGCACGCAACATACTTGACAATGCCATGTTGGAACACACGTCATCTAGACAATGACACAGACTCATACGCACCATCTAGCTTAGCCTGAGAGAGTATTGAAAGAAGTGCTTAGTCCTCAGGCACAATGTGATTTGAGGTTGTCCAAGACATGGGGCCCGCTGTTTGTTTCAAGGCAACCCCGAAAAGCCCCCTCCAGGTCACACTCACCGATTGACATCAGCTGATTGCACAGCCGGAAGGTCGCAACCAGCTCTCAAAATGAGAAGCGCGCCTAAACATCTCTCTGCTAAACAACTCGTGCCATAGATATCCATGGATACGAAGCACGAATGGAAGCACTGCAGGCTTGGGCTGGAAGATGGAATGGGACCATCCCCAAACTTGGGTGTAACAAACCGCCGACATATGCTGCATTGGCTTGAAGAGGCTTCACTCAAGGAGCCGGATGTATTGCTTGGCTCCCTTCTGCTGCATAGCCAGATCATAGTACCGGTAGCTCCCCATGCGCTCCTTCTTGGCGTCGTTGACTGGGGCCACCCCTGGTGCGGAAGGGGGAGGGGCCATGCTGGCTCCATCTATTTCCCGCCAAAACATGCACCATTGAAGAACGAACAAAGGGAGTGACTGCCACTCAACCCTTGGGATATCACGAATTCGTCGGCTCAAGCAATCGCGCCTGCCGATCGCGCCCATTGCCCCCAGTTGCTGTGCACATCGTAGTCCAACAGATGGGCCTGCCAGGCAGTTTCGAACCACTGCAAGTCGATCAAAGCTGCAGCAACGGGACAACCAAAAATTAAGGCAACATGCCATGTAGCTGTTGAAGGGTCAACCTCCCGGATTTGAAACGCGTCGCGACGCCAGAGCATCCTGTTCTAGAGGGCTTACACCCTTACATGATCCAAAACTGCAACCCCCCCCCACCAGGGGCCTCCTCCAACCGCGACTAACCCGCCTGCCTTTCCGCAACATGTTGCGCAACATTTTCTCTGCTGGTGCTTGTGCTGGTGCTGGTGATGCCATGATTGACTTAGATGCAAGTGCCTCAGGAAATACCTGGAAATTCTGTGCTTTCTATGTTGGACTGTTGGTGTCTGAGGGTGACACCACGTGTGTTGAATTGTTTCTGCATAACTCCCTAGACTATCTTCTATGGATGCTGATGCCTGGGGCAAGTTAGGACAACTTGTGAAAGCTTGTATCCATTTGCTTGTGCTATGAGTACTAGTTGAAATTGCAGTATTGTGGCAGCACATGAGCAATATGTGAGTAGTAAGGCATGAGGCTGTCTTACATGCTTTATCGGAGAAACAGGGAGTTCTCGAAAATAGCTCTGTGAATTGTCAGCTTCTCAACATTCTGTGGACCCAAAACAGTTGGCCACATACTCGCTATGCTTAACCAGCCTACTATGCGAACAATGCGAGTTTTGATAAAACTGCTGAGCTGCAGCATGGATGCACGCATGGCATACCTTTCTGTAGCCATAATTTGCTTTGGTATGTTTAGCTGGAAACCACTTCTCGCTAAACCCAATTCAGCTCTCATGTATTTGGTTTCACTGAATACATTTGACAACCATGTTCCATCTGCTACATGATGTGCAAAATGACATGTGAGGGCAGGCCCTGAAATTGGTGGAACAACAATGCAAATTTACAGGGTTGTATGCAACATGTAGGTCTTGGGGTGGCTACCATGTGTATGCATACATTATATGTATGATATATATATATATAAACAGAACACAGATATACTTCTTTCATACATACATATATATATATATGTATATATATATATATATGGTACCCCCCCCCCCCAAGCCCAAAAAGTTCAAAAAACAGTGGGGAAAAGCTGAAAAATCGAAGAAACACATGGTCTAAAGGAAAAACCAAGGTCCTATGGAAGTGAAAGAAACCAAGATCTTCTGGTGGCAGGGCACCAAACCCCAGAAAAACCAGGAAACAAAGGAAAACGGAAAAAAAAAACGAGAAAAAAAAGGAAAAAAACAAACAGAAAACCAGAAAAAACCAGAAAAAAACCAAAAAAATCGGGGCCTCATGAAGAAGGGCCCCAAACCAGAAAAACCGGAGAAACCAGAAAAACCAAAAAACCAGGGCTTTTCAGAAGAAGGGTGACCTCCATAATCTATCTTCTAGACCCTGATTGTTTTCCTCTTTTTTCTCTGTTTTTTCCTGGTTTGGGGCCCTTCTTCATGAGGCCCCTGGTGTTGGTGTTTCTGTTTTTTCCTTCTGGTTTTTCTGGTTTGGGGCCCTTCTTCATGAGGCCCCTGGTTTTTGCTTTTTCTGGTTTTTCTGTTTTGGGTCCCTTCTTCATGAGGACCGTAGTTATTGTTTTTGTTTTGTTGTTTGAAGGGATAGATCTGAATAACCCAACAAAACTCAGGGAAAACCAGCCAACAGAAAACGTGCAAAAACCACCAAGACCAAACCCATTTGGCAACAACCGACACTTCTCCTCTAAATTGTGTTTTGTTGCTTTCTCGAGTTGTGCTTCTTGGCATATTTGGGCAGGTTTGGTACTGCCATGATTGAGCCTTCTTGGAGCCACAATGAACGGGTGTGACCAGTCTTCTAGATGTTCAATGTTAAGTTGGAATTCAACACTCCTTGAACACTCGTTATAAGGCTCTTTGTACAAGGCTCCGTATAAAACTCCTCATAAGGCTCCTGTAAAGATGCTTGTCAGACTCCTTTTCAAGCTCCTTATACAGCTCTTCTATGTCATGGCTCCATATAAGGATCGCAGTATAAAGCTGCTTGCAAAGCTCCTTTTGAAGCTCACTTGGGTGCTCACAAGACTGTTTGAATGAAGCTTCAAAAAGCTTCAAATAAAGCTCCTTACACGACTCATCATAAAGCTCTGTTTAAGGCTCCTTAAAGGCTCCTTTTAAAATTTATTGCACAAATGCTTGTACAGCTCGTACAGCTCCTTTGAAGGCTCATGATAAAGCTCTTTCTAAGGGTCATTGCAAAGCTGCATTTGAGGCTCCTTATACAGCTTATAATGCACATGTTAGAGTTCTAATAAAGCTCCTTATGCTCCTTGAACAGCTGCTTGTGGGGCTCCATGTACAGCTCCTGTTAAAGCTCTGTCAAAAGAACTCCTTATAAGGCTCCTTATACCAAATTGGACTCCAATTGAGGTTTAATCAGCGTTTAAAGGAAGAAAGTCTAGTAGGATTTCTGTGTTGAATGAGAATGGAAAGGATACTATTTTTCCATATGTGATGTGAAACTAACACTAGCTAGCAGAACGTGCCAAGAATTTAATAGGGCCCGGGCACGAGCTCCATTAGACTTCTATCTTCAGTTAGAAACTAAGAAAGCGTCCTGTCCATGAATAGAACTTAGTATGGGAATAGATCGAATATATTTGCTGTATCAATTAAATAAGATGTAGATCAACATCTAGCTAGAATTGTAATAGAATTGAAGAACAAACCATGTGCGGTTGAATGTGTATTCTAACTGAGGGTTAAAGTAGGAAGTACTTTCCAAATCGGCCTTTAATCAAAGATAATTGCTACGGAAATGGAATTTGAATGTCTATTTCGATTGCTAATTTGAGTAGGAAATATTTTCCAAACAGGGGACTTAAACAAAGTTAATTGCACTTTGGCAAGCACGTGGAAAGGTAATGGACAGTAGCGTGGCAGATTCGAAAATGTGGAAGATGGCAAATGAGCAAATGTGCAAAGCTATTGTAGCTTTTGAGTGGATTTGCAAAAATGGAAGATGTGCAAAGGAGTAAAAGTGGATCATGGGTGGGGTCTGAGCATATGTATATATATATATATGGGTATGGCTCAAAAAACCGGTACCAAAATAAACCAAAATGGAACCCTGGTAAGTGGAAACATGGACCAAAACCTGCGTAGCCCTAGCTCTTTAATTTTGAGCCACGGCCATATATACATATTTATAGCTAGTGCGCGGGTCCGGGGGGGGGGGGGTCCCGGGGAGGGGGGGTAGCATATATATATATATATATTACATATACATATTCTGTACATCAATATACATATATACCGTGTACATATCCATTTCCCATCCATTTACACCCGGGTGCGTGTCTCGCATCTGCCTCAAACCAGTCAGCTCCCACACGCCAATCAAGCTGCAGCTCCTCTACGAGGAATGCAGCGGTGATTTGCCTGGGCAAAAGAAACGCAGATGCTTGGGGCTGAAGGTTTGGTGCACCTAATCAAATTGTTTAGACGGTGGTGCACCTGTTCAGCTGAAGGTTTGGTGACTGAAGGTTTAAATGCATAATGTTGAGCAGGAAACTACTTTTCTGCTTCACCAGTCACCCAGAAGACGAACGCGGAATAGCATTCGTTGAAAGGATAAAGCAGGCGAGCCTCACAAAGCCCAAAAACAGGGCATGGTTGCTCTGGGTATTCCTTTCAAGCAGCCCAAACGGTACTTGAGAATATGATATCCCCAAAATATTCCGTTCGACAAGTGGCTGAGGTGCAAGGTGACTGGAAGGTAAGCTAGTCACATAACCATGCTGCACTCAAGAACGCCAAGCACGAGCTAGACTCATTAACAGAAGCATGCTGGGTACAGCACCTTTGTTGGCTGGCCCCTGTCTTGCAACCTGGGAGGGCGAAGGCCGCTCAGCATGAGGTCAAAAGTCCCATCAAGCGGGGTCGCAAAGGACTTGCCTGGATCCATCCAAGGTATTCCCAACCATAAAATGTCTTCCCAACGTCCGAAAACAAAAGCCCCACTCCCACTTAGGGGGCCGCTTGCGCTTCTTCGCGCCGAGAACCGACCCAAACGTGAGATTCGAATGGAATGTCAAATATTTAATCCTTGACTTACAAAACTTCCACAAAATCAACGACGGGACAAGTCACTTGTTATCCTAATCAAAATCTCTATTTAGTTGTACAACTGTTACATTTTGCCTGCTTTGAAAGGGCATCATGCTTGCGCAGGTATATGATATCAAGAGACAACGGCCCCTAATGATCAACAAACACTTCCCCAAACAAGTAATTCAATTAGCAGCCAATGGTGATAAGGGGCATGTACCAGCAGGGGGATGGACTATTTAAGCAAGCGGCAAAACCTGAAACTACTTTGGGTGATTTTGCATGGGAAGTTATTGCTTTGGACCTTCACTTTTTCATTCCTGAAGGGTTTCTGACACTTGTCTTTTGGGGTTTCACTACATTACCCGAGACATATTATCTCCGCACCACAGAGTATAGCCCTGTCTCTCAATTGGTTGATTCCATGCACTTCCATGCAGACATCTGAATGAGTGTGTGAGGCCAGTGGCCGTGCTGCACCTCCAAAGGCAGGCCGAAGCAAGAAACCAAACTGGTTTTTTGAATACCACGAGCTTGTGCTCTGACTTTATCAGTGACCAACCGTAAAACTTAACATGTCTCATCTACATGAAGTCATCCACATGAACACGCAACAATTCCTTCAAACTTGTGTATCAACGTATCAACGCTAACTCGGACCCTGTTAAGGGCTGCAGCTTCGAACGGACAAACTGTTGACCGGAACCGGGTAGTCTGAAAAGGTATGCCAAGCTAGAAAAGGCACTGCACAGTCAAGTAACGATTGACTCACGAGGAGTTGACACAGGGCACCATCTGGGAGCGAGGACAAAACAGAGTCGAACAACTTGTCCTTCTGAATCACGAACTTTCTATGCTTGATGGGAACTCCACAAACAGCATCACAAAGACTAACGGCGATGCGTCTGAGCTGTTGGCTAGTTGGAGAGGCGTTCCATCCTGGGCCTTTGGCATTACTCATAATATGGAATCTGGAGAGTCCCTTCAAAAGTGGTCTTCCAGGTATCCCTGCAGGCTCCTTTCCTTCCCCTTGGGTTGGCAAGTTAAATTTCATATTTTGTGGGGCCGTTTGCCCCTTTGAGTAAATTCTCCTAGCTTTCCAAAAGACAGGGATCCTTACATTATACACCTGAACATTGCCTTGTAAATGGTGGTGTCCCTTTATTTTGGTGGAAAAAGCCATGTTTCAAATGGGCAAAATGTATCTTTTAAGGAGCCCTGACTCGGGGAACATCTGCGGCTGAAACCGCGCGCCTGGAGAGGTTGCCCATGTATCCCGTTTGCTGCAGCTCCCGCATGGCGGCATCCACCAGCGGCACGCCGGTGGCGCCAGATTTCCATCTCCTCTGGGCAATCAAACCGCGAACACGGGAGCTGTTTATAGCTGTCCTTCTTGGGGAAATAGATGGCCCTGGTAGATGATTAAACTGTGTCCTTTTGGGGGAAATAGATGGCTTTCCTTGGTGGATGAGTAAACTAAACCAGGTAAACCAGGAATCACCATCGATTTTTCTAGCAAAGCAACCAAAAAGGACACCTATGGTCTTGTTGCCAAGTAGTCCGGAAACAGCCGATTTCCAAACCCTGACCGCCTACACCAAATGTTGCCGGTTGCTGAGTCGTGGGAAGCGTAAGGTTCAAAGCAAGGGGCTTTCGCATTTCACACGGGGACAAATGAAGCGCATTCTGACCAACCATTAGAAAGAAAGAAAGAAAGAAAGAAAGAAAGAAAGGAAGGAAGGAAGGAAAGAAAAGAAAGCAGGGACGAAAGAAATAACAAAAAACAACAACAACAACAACAACAACAAGAAGAAACAACAAAAAGAAAGAAAGCAAGAAAGTAAGAAATAAAGCACACACACACACAAGAAGAAACACAAAAGAACACAATAAACAAAGAAAGACCGACACAACCAGAAACAATCAGAAAAGAGATCACTGCCCATAAATCAAGAACACATAGATTGATAAAACAAATAGATTAGGCAGACACATAGACAAATACACTAGACTTGATTTGACTTGATTTAGATCGATTGGTCGATAGTTTAGATAGACAAGAGAAACATAGCTTAGACAACATGATAGCGATAGATCAATAGCTGTATGCACATGCTATGTTACGTATCGCTACATAGAGAGAACACAACTTCTGAACACATGCAGAAGCACTTCATCAGACATGGATCTCAAAAAAGGCACCAGCATGTGAAATCTGTCGCAAAGGAAAACCCGTGAGGTTATCATAGTAGACATGGGGGTCGATCAAAAGGTCCGACACACTTGGGATGATTAGTGGTTGGAGAACCACTAAATGGATGACGTTTCCCACCAAATGGGGAAAGATATCCTTGCTCATTTACGGGCCAGGAAGCTAGATCAACACCTGCATGGAAGCGCGGCCTCGCTTTGGAAGACGACTCTCGCTTTTAAAATTAAGCCTATGCTCAGTCGGCTTCTGTGAGGACACTTTGCCCAGATGGCTGGTAGCCCTACCATGGCTGGTTCGCCTTTTCCTCTTCAAAGCCACCCCAAGGGGCTTCAAAAAACGCACACCCTCTTGGTCAAGACTCAACTCAGAACACCAGGGACTTACAACTTTTCTACCACCATCCCTCTTAGTCAACCTGTTAGTCGGGGGCATCACCGATGTCTCCGCTGGCAAAGTGGGCCCAGGTTTAACCACGACATGTCTCTTTCCGGCTATTTTGAGTAGATACTCAGATTCAGTAACTGTAGCTAGCCCTTGCTACAAGTTGTCTTGGTAGCATTTTTCACCCCTTGGCCTTGGTCGAACCGGCTGAAGCGAGCTCCTCTCAAGCTCCGCGTTGCGGATCCAGGGCTTCTGCAGCTGCAAGGGGCCCTGCACCTGGAAGAGCCTGGGGCCCCACCGCACCTCAGTCGAAATCGGGGCAAAAGCGCCGAAAAAAGGTAGCTTCGAACATGAGCTACCCATCTGGGTGTGTCCATTTCTTGGGGAACCTCTTTTTTGGCGACTTTAAAGCAGACCAACGGAAAACCACCAAGTTGGGGGGGGGGTCCCCTAAAAAAAAGACACGCCCATATGGCTATGACTTCTTTGTTTTGTATGCGCCGCGCGCCGCGCCACGAATCTGTAACGGAGGTGTGTAACGGGTCCTTGCTATGCAGGTGTGTAGCGAGAAAACGTTAAATTGCATGAGAGGCACCAACATCGCAATATATTGCAGAACAACCAAGAGCCGCAGCTCCAGCTTGAAAGTCGCAACTGTTCAGCGCAAGTGCGGTATGCAAGGTGCGCTTCCGCAGCTCCAGCTTGAAATTTGCAACTGCTCAACGCAAGTACAGAGACGGCAAAAAGGGAATTGATGGCCAGGGCTGGATGTAAAGGCTACGAAACGAGGTGTGTAACGAGGTTGAGCACGGAAAGAAGTCGTTTCTTCCGGCCCCTGTTCCACATTTTCTTTTGAATAGCCCTCAGCAAGTTGATTCAACAGCGGAAACATGCTCTGCAAAAGTCTGCTCTGCGGGCACTCATGGGAAATCATTGAGAGTCTGGGCATGCGTTGGGGTACTTATGCAACGAGGGGTATGCGACCCGGCAAACGGTTTTGCTCACACAAGCGTGTAACGAAGGTATGAAACGAGCGGTGTGTAATACGCCGGCGGTCTTGCTATACAGGTCTGTAACGAGGTCCGTAACGCCGCGGCTCTGCTACAGACCCCTCAAAGAATCGCTGCTACAGACCCCTCTCTCTCTCCCTGTCTCTCTCCCTTCTCTCTCTCTCTCTCTCTCTCTCTGTCTCCCTCTCTCTCTCCCTCTCCCTCTCTCCCTCTCCCTCTCTCCCTCTCCCTCTCCCTCTCTCCCTCTCTCTCTCTCTCTCTCCCTCTCTCTCTCTCTCTCCCTCCCTCCCTCCCTCTCCCTCTCTCGCTCCCTCTCTCTCCCTCTCTCTCTCTCTCCCTCTCTCCCTCTCTCTCTTTCACTCTAACAGTCATCAGCATTCTCCTATGATCATAACTCAAACATAGCTTTCTCCTCCCCATCCTCAGGCCAAAGGGCTGCAAGCTTCCGAAAGAACTCCCGCCAGCAGAGCTCGTAGATGAAGTGCTCCACGTGCACCGACGGGGAATCTTTGGGCATCTGCCCCAAGACCTATGCGAATCCGCGGCTCTCGGGTAGAACGGCGTTGTGGGGCACGTTCAAACTACATTTGGTCATAACTACTGGACCAATTTATTAGTAATCATTTAGACCCTTAAGATTTTGTTTAGGAATCCTATTGGTTGACCGTTAAAAGGTGGAACGGGTAGCCTCCACAAACACACACACACCCATGTCCCCACACAAAGGAAAAGGGCCTGAAAGCTGCTCGTTGAATCCAAAAAGGATAAATCCGCCGACAGCAGACTTTCATACGAGGGGCTTGCGGGAGATGGCTATTCAAAAACCTTGGGTGCTCGATTCCCCCGGGCCCCTGTCCAACATCCCCAGCTTCACTTCTGCATCCTCAGCAGCTCTAGCGCAACATCACCAGCGTTATGAAAATAACATTTGTACAAATCAAGAACGTGAAGGGACATGTAATGGAAAGGAAGGAAAAATGAAGGGATTGGAGATGAGTGACAAAAAATCAAAGGGACATGAAGGGGAAATGAAGGGGACATAAAGGGGAAGAGAAGGGGGCATAAAGGGGAACTGAAGGGACAATGAAGGGAACATGGGAAATGAATGGAAATAAAGGGATTGGCCATGGAGGGAATTGAAGGGATTGGACATGAAAGGGAAATGAAGGGGACATGGAATGAGCAAGAATGGGACAAGAGGGGAAATTAAGGGACATTGAAGGGGAAATGAAGGGGAACATGAAGGGACCACGAGGGAATATGAAGGATACAATTGGGAAATGGAAGGACATAGAGGGAAAAAAAAGGGATGTTGCATGAAGAGGAAATGACGGGGACACAGAAAGGAAATGAAGGCAGGCCTGTAATGTCGGCGTTCTGAGCCGGAGACGTTAAAGTCTGCACAACCATGCTAGGCTTATTTCGAAAGTCCGAATTGTGCTGAATTCCAGGGGAGACCCTCACAAGATCCGGCTTATTGATTCTATGGCCGATGGATCAAACGCTGAAAAGACTAGATGATTCCAATGGATCAAATGGATACTGTGGTGGATGGATTCCATCAGTTGCCTTTTTCGTGCTCGGTCAATGCTTGCAAGCGAGCACTATACACCTTATAGTCTTCTTACAAAACAAACTTCAATATCAAGACCAAAGAACAATCGCGGGGATTCCCGGCATGTGCTGGCTGGTTGTGTGGGCGATTTTGGGCCGGGCAAAGGTCCTTATCAGCCAACTGGTGGTTTCAAGAGCTACCGACCGTAGGAGACCTTCATTCCCTGGTCATTTCACCCACTGAGTTCGCTACGAACGAGTGTCGAACAATTCATGTCAAAAGAGTGTCAAATAATTATTGTCAAAAGCATTCTTAGCGGATACCTATCCTGGTCAAATGCTATTGCAGGGAACCAACGCAAAGGATGCACAAGCGATTCTTGGGATACTTTGCCAAATTGGTCCAGGGAAGCAGCTTGACTGAAAATGCCGAAGGCGCGCCGGCCACCAAACAAGTAACATCCCTGCCATTTCTGTTGGCTCCCTCAAAAACGGCAAATTTGCTCACTTCCAACCACCATCTGGGCATTTTTTGTTTGGTGGTTTTACGGAAACCCAAGGGCAGAACCCGGTGCGGCAAACCTGGGTCCGAGTCCTAAAAAAGACGAGACGAAACGACGAGCCGAAAGTGGCGCCTCGAGCAAAAGGCGCTGCACGGAGAGGCAGCCATAGGCCAAGTGCGCCGAGAGCCGCGAGGAGCAGTCACCTGCCGGCCAAACGAGGCCGTTGAAGCCTCTGCCCCTTGCCCTCCCTTTGTTTGTGTGCTTGTTTGGTTGCTTGCTTGTTTGTGTGTTTGCTTCTTCTTTCTTTTTTCTCGCTCTCTCTCTCTCTCTCTCTTCCTTCCGGACGTTTTCACCCACAAGGTGTGAATCTCAATTAGGGACCCAACAGGTAGACATCAGATACACAGAGCTGGATCGATGGTCAGTGGGGTGATTGGTAGATGGCACACATCCAGCCACTTTTGGTTTTGTCACCTTTTACTTAGCCCAAGTCTACCGAAATTCAATCGTGCCATCTACCAACTCACCTGGCGTTTCTCTACATGGCATTTGGACCTCTCGTGGTTCCAGGTATTTGAAGGACACCTCAAGGAAACCAACCATTCTTCGGGACTGTCATAAGGGGGGTGTTCCCTCCAAAAATGGTCTGACCCCCCACACGCACTAAAAGGGGCACCCCCCAATCAAATCAAGCAGGGTACTTTTTTATTGGCGTTCCCACCAGGGGTCAGGTGATTTGTCTTTTTCTTTTTGTAGCGGTTTTCAAGGAAAACCAGAGGGAAAGCCACCATTCATTGCTGGAATATGGACCCAGCACAAACCTACATTTGTTGCCTGGTCAGTGGAAACAAACAGGATCCAAAAAAAACAAAAACAAAACAAAAAGGGGAGCTACTTGACGCATTTTTCCGGGGTTCCCATTTTGAAAGGTCCCCGCCCCACCAACCCCCACCTCCACCCCCCTCCAACCCCCACCCCACCCCACCAGCCCCCTGCCTGCGAGGTTTCGGAAGCTGTGCTTGTAGCCATGGAGCCCGTTGCTCAGCCAAATTGTCAGCCGCTCCCATGCGGCGCTCTCGCCGCCTTCGCGCGAAGAGGCGCGTTGGGGCCCCCGAAATCGATGGCTTCCGGGCGCCGCTTTGGGCCTCCCTCGAAGAAGCGGCCGGACAAGGGAGGCCAAAAAGGCGGCTTGAATCTCCCTCCCTCGAAAAGGGAAGCCTCAAAAGACACAAGGAGGAAGATTCGTTTGAACTGTCTCAAAAAAAGCCACAACAAGGCGCAAGGAGGGGGGGGGTTTTCAAGGGAAATCAAAAGGAACCCAACGAAGCCCAACGTGCCTCCCTTGAACTCAACTTCAACCTAGCTAGCTTTGTGTCCCCAAAAGGGAACCGGACCTAAGTCTTTGTTGGGTTTGGTGATTTTTTTAAACCACTTCTTGGGCCCATTTTCCCGAAAGCATGGTTCTTCCGCGCGGAGCTCTCGGACCAACTTGCGTAGAGTCACTTGCGCAGAGTCAAATACATAGAGCCAAGTGCATGGAGCCAAGTGCAAATAGAGCAAAGTGCATAGCCGAGTGCATAGAGCCGAGTGCATAGAGCCGTGCGTAGAGCCAAGTGCATAGAGCCAAGTGCATAGAGCCAAGTGCATAGAGCCAAGTGCACAGAGCCAAGCGCACAGAGCCAAGTGCAGAGAGCCGAGTGCACAGAGCCGAGTGCATAGAGCCGAGTGCATAGAGCCAAGTGCATAGAGCCGAGTGCATGGAGCCAAGTGCAAAGAGCCAAGTGCATAGCGTTCGCAGCTATGCAAGTTAAGTTTAGCTTTCTAGGGCGCCGGGGCAGGACTTTGATCGTTGATCGGTTTTGCAAGCCTCTGCGGGGATCGGCGTGGTCAAGGTACAGAAATTCGAGGTTTTGTACGATTTCTGATCTGCCCGCGCGACCCTCTGCGGGGATCGGCGTGGTCGAGATACAAAAACTCGAGGTTTTTTGCGATTTCTGTCTGCCCGCGCGACCCTCTGCGGGGATCGGCGTGGTCGAGGTGCAAAAACTCGAGGTTGTTTTTGCGTTTTTGCGGTGCGCGGATGAACCCTCTGCGGGGATCGGCGTGGTCGAGGTGCAAAAACTCGAGGTTTTTGCGTTTTTCGGCGCGCGGATGAACCCTCTGCGGGGATCGTGCGTCGACGCGCTCTTGCTGTGGCGCCGTGCGAATTCGTTTTAGTCTCGGTGAACCCTCTGCGGAGATCGTGCGTGTCGAAGCGCTCTCGCTGTGGCGCCGTGCGATTTTATTACTCGCAAAACGGCCTTTGGAAGTTGCGTCGTGGTTTGCGCGCCTGCTTTCGCAATCGCGCGGTCGCGGGTTCGAGTCCCTCCTGGTCCGCGGCAGCTCCGGCTCAAGCAAAGAAGCCGTAGTATGTGGAGTGTACTCCTGGCGGCTCCGACTGAAGCGCAGACGTATAGTGCGCGGAGCACCTCCACAGCTCAGCTCAGGCTGAGCATCTTGCGCGCAGATACAAGCGCCGAGCGTCTTGCGGAGAGAAACTTGCACAACGTGCACAGAACAGCTTGAAGACAGATGTCGAGCCACTTGCGTGCAGCAGCTTGCAGAGAGCAACTTGCGCGCAGCAGCCTGGAACAATGCAGCTTGCGCAGACACTGCCATGTTTCCTCTCGTGGGACGATGAGATGGAGCTCTCATGTGACCATACACATTGAGCATCGCCGCGTGCAGACACGCTCGCCGCATCGATGTAAAAAGGTGTCCCCGCGGCTGGAGAGAGCGCTTGAAAAAAAAATGCTCTCGGGCCAATCGCCCTCGGCCCCCCCCCCCGCCCATTTTTCGGGTCCGCCGTCCGCCTTGGAACTCGTAGGTGTAGTCCTCACAGGGCGTCACCGCCAGCTCCATCTCCGGCAGCTCCGGGAGCTCCGGGGCCGAGAGGAGCTGCGGCGCCGGGTGCAGACCCGCCTGGCAGAGGTCCAGCAGGAAAGGTCCTGGTGGCCATGGGTCCAAATCCCGTACCCCCATCCCCACTAAAATAGACTAGAATGGGTGGTGCACCTACCCCTAATTTTTCGCTTTTTTTGGATCGCAAATGGGTGGTGGGTCCAAATTTCCAAAGTGTGGGTCCGCATAAAAGCAAAAAAACATATGGACCACAGGTTTTTGTCTTTTCCATTTACCAGGGCTTTGGGTCTACATTAACAACCACCACATTGACCACAGGTTTTTGTCTTTTCCATTTACCAGGGCTTTGGGTCCACATAAAAAAAAAAAAACAGAAACACACCACATGGACCACAGGTGTTTGTCGTTTCCATTTAGCAGGGCTTTGGGTCCACATTAAAAACCACCACATGGACCACAGGTTTTTGTCTTCCATTTAGCAGGGCTTTGGGTCCACATTAACAACCACCACATGGACCACAGGTTTTTGTCTCTTCCATTTACCAGGGCTTTGGGTCCACATGAACAACCACCACATTAATCACAGGTTTGTGTCTTTTCCATTTAGCAGGGCTTTGGGTCCACATTAAAAACCACCACATGGACCACAGGTTTCTGTCTTTTCCATTTACCAGGGCTTTGGGTCCACATTGAAAATCACCACATGGACCGCAGGTTTTAATCTTTTCCATTTACCAGGTCTCTGGGTCCACATTAAAAACCACCAAATGGACCTCAGGTCTTTGTCAATTTCCATTTACCAGGGCGTTGGGTCCACATTCGAAACCACCACATGGAACACAGGTTTTTGTCTTTTCCATTTAGCAGGGCTTTGGGTCCACATTAAAAACCACCACATGGACCACAGGTTTTTGTCTTTTCCATTTACCAGGGCATCGGGTCCACATTCAAAACCACCAGATGGACCACAGGATTGTGTCTTTTCCGTTTACCAGGGCATTGGGTCCACATTAAAAACCACCACATGGACCACAGGTTTTTGTCTTTTCCATTTACCAGGGCTTTGGGTCCACATTAAAAGCCACCATGTGGACCACAGGTTTTAGTCTTTTCCATTTACAAGGGCTTTGGGGCCATAAAAAAAAAAACACCACATGGACCACAGGTTTTTGTCTCTTCCATTTACCAGGGCTTTGGGTCCACATTAACAACCACCACATGGACCACAGGTTTTTGTCTTTTCCATGTATGAGGGCGGTGGGTCTACATTAACAACCACCACATTGACCACAGGTTTTTGTCTTTTCCATTTACCAGGGCGTTGGGTCCACATTAAAAAAGCACCACATGGACCACAGGTTTTTGTCCCTTCCATTTAGCAGGGCTTTGGGTCCACAAAAAAAAACACCACATGGACCACAGGTTTTTGTCTTTTCCATTTACCAGGGCGTTGGGTCCACATTCGAAACCACCACATGGACCACAGGTTTTTGTCTCTTCCATTTACCAGGGCATCGGGTCCACATTCAAAACCACCACATGGACCACAGGATTGTGTCTTTTCCGTTTACCAGGGCATTGGGTCCACATTAAAAACCACCACATGGACCATTTGTCTTTTCCATTTACCAGGGCTTTGGGTCCACATTAAAAGCCACCATGTGGACCACAGGTTTTAGTCTTTTCCATTTACAAGGGCTTTGGGGCCAAATGGGAAAACCACCATGTGGACCACAGGTTTTAGTCTTTTCCATTTACCAGGGCTTTGGGTCCGAATTAATAACCACCACATGGACTACAGGTTATAGTGTTTTCCATTTACCTGGGCTTTCCCCATTTTTGAAATGGGTTCCCGTATTTTTGAACCTCACCCAAAGGGTCTGTGGAGTTTTTGCTGAGCCTCGGTGCACTCTTTTTGGTTTGATATGAAAGGGACACCCAAATGGTTGAACATGAATCCGTGGGTGTGAATCTTAACTTGGTGGACATCATTTGAGTCACATTCAAAACCCGGTACACAAACGGTGAACCCCGAACCATGTCAAGAATTGTAAAGGCGGCTGCACCCATTTATGGTTGGGATTGTCCCTTACTACCCTCCAATTACCCAGGTTTGGATTCGGCTCATTTAGCTTGGGATGGAGGTCCAAAAATCACTTTTCAGGGTAACATTGAAATCCGTGGCCATGGGCCATGTCACTTGCTCGCTATGATCTACCTTAGGTTCCTCAGACTCTCGAAAACAGATCGCTGGATTGTTCCCCTTCAATAGTTGCAATTTATTGAGTTCCCCTGTACTATGGGTGCAATGTCCAGTTGGGATGGATGAAACCCTGTTGTTTGGATAAACCACCCATCAACCGGTGCAGGTGTTTTTTTTTTACATCCATAAGATTTTCCACCCAAGTGATAGGCCAATACCTGTTCGGTTCCTTGGTTGAGGGACCCGTTGTGGTTGCCTTCAGAGGGGGACAAATCTGTAACCCAATCATTGCATGTGACGAACAACTGCTTGATCCTTCCACAAGGGAATTGTGAATCCCCGCCCAGAGCAATGGTCCGGTGTCTCAAAGAGGAGACCAGGCAAACGGGACAAAATGAACACAGAAGGCTAAAATGAAGGGCCGCTTCGCGAGTCTCGATCAGAATGCGGAATCCATGAAACCCCACAGGTGGCCGATCTCGCGTGATTTGTTGCTTTTGTGACTCCTAACTGAAATGGAGGCCTTAAACTTGCAGGACTGGAGTGCGCCCAAAGCTTGAGAGGCGGGTGAACGAAATGAAAGGTTGCCAGCCCCAACAAAGACATGTATGACCCAGGGGTTGCCAAGATATTAAGGAAAGCAACCTTAAATGAGAATCCAGAAAGTCATTAAGACCCCAGCTTGGACCAGGTCAGCACTGAGGCACTTCCGCTCTGATTGCCAGATGCAAAGGAGTCATCGTGTTGCTATGCTCCTGAAGGATACCCAGGACCATTGCAAGCTTTCGATTCCACCTCCCCTTCTACCTTTCTTGCAAAATCGAACGGCTCCCAGTCTAAATGCCATGCTTTCCAGCCTTACCCTAACCGGCTTGGCACAGAACACGCTGCAATACTGTGTCCCTCAAGGAAAGCATTCACTTTTGGGGCCAAGAGTCTCGTTGGCAGGTAAAACTCTTGGAAGTTCTCCGGGAACTCCATCGGATCGTCCGGCAGCCCAACGTGCTGCAGCTCGGCGGGTCCCAAAAGGTCAGTGATGCCTGAGGGGTGCGAACTGCGAGCAACAGAACCCACGCAACAGAAACAAGAAAAGGCTGCAACGGGGTACCGCCACCACAGCGACCACCACCACGACCAACAACACCAGCAGCAACACTCGGCCTGTCTCTCATAGCACGCGCACGGCAGAAAGCAGTGCGGCGCGCTAGGTCTGTTCCCTCACAGAGGGCGCACAACGTCGTTGGCTGTGCGCACAGGTCGCTTGGCGGTAAAGGCCAACAGAAACCGATCGAGGTCACTGAGGGCCGATTCGTCTATACAAACAGCCAAGCCCTGCAAAGGCATGTGAATCCGGAGACCAGAAGCATCGATGCCGTGCAAGAAAGCGCCCTGAAGCGAAAAAACTTGGCACATTGCTTTCACCACACCTCTAATGAAACGAATTCGTTGGGCCAACGTCAGTTGGCCGGCCAGGGCCGGGGGAACCTCATCACTCCAGCACTCGCCGCTGTACCTTGCAGAAGGAAAAGGGTGTGGTAGCCGCGCCTGAAAGGTGAGCACTGCCAGCTCAAGCCATGAAATCTGCACAGATCGTACCGTAGGTTCACGCAGAAATTGCTGGAGCCAGGGCACGAAAGAGGCAATAAAGGCAGTGCCAAATTGCCGCGCATAACTCGACTGTTGCCATGTGTGCGCCCAGTTGGGGGTTAGGCCGGAGATCCAGTCACCACCATCAAGCATGGTACGCACGACAATTGGAGGATCATCAGGATTGAAAGCACCTGGAGCTTCGCATGCCACAAGGTGCCCAGCACCTGCGATATCAAGCTGAAAACTCCGAAAACGGTCAACGGCATCCCAAGCGTCCTGTTGATGTTGTCGAAAAAGGTCGCGGACGTGCCAAAAAGCGAGTGGGCGTTGCCGGTGAGCACCACGCGCCGCCGCATCTGCCTGATCATTCCAATATGCCGCCCAATCTGCTGTATCTGCAAAAATGTCAGATATCTGTGCATGACCAGGTACATGTTGAACAAGCAGCTCGCCCGAGGCAAAAAAAGAAATAGAATGTCTAAGTTCGGCCCATAAATCTGCGTGTGTGTCTGGTAGCGGAGCATACTGGTCCTGGATCAAAGCCGCGAGACCGCATGCGGCGTATGAACTGTCTGACCAAATAGTGCCCCGGCTGGAAAAGCGAATCAGCCAGCGAATGGCCATGAGGATCGCCATGAGCTCCGCGCGGTCAATGGATTGGAACAGACCTCCCAGTGGAGCTGCTGCCAACAGAGACCCATGCGTGGCCGACACAACGGCCCATGAGGCGCATGCTATGTCGGGACGATTGGGTGCAAGGCAACTGCCGTCGGTAAAGAGGTCGAAATGCCGAAGACCGCCGGGAGCAAGGTAGCTGGAAAAGGTATCAGCTTGTCGATACAGCTGATGTTGCAGATCACGAAGGTGTGGATTTGCTGAGGGTAGCAAGCGCTCCGTAAGTGAGCGTGGAAAGGCATCCCAATGCTGAACCGCCCAAGGGTGTCGTGTGCGGACCGCCTCAAAGGCCGGACAAACCAAACAGCGATGCGCCAGTGTGTCATCGGCACCACAAAGAGGGCAGGCCGTGCCCTTAACCAGGTCAAACTTACCCTGCACATGCCCAGTGAGGAAAGTGCCCTCACGCAGGGCATTGACCTGAGCGTGCTGAAGTGCCGTGAGGTGTGCCTCATGCCTACTGGGTGGCCATTGAAGGCCCACGAGCCCGCTGTAATCCTGGCGATGAGCGACCTCGCGCGCGAGTCTCTGCCGCCATGCATCTTCAAGACGTGCCTGGGTAGAAGGCCAAGGGTCTGTCAAGAGGTCGACTGGCAGGCCGTGGTGGTCAAGTAGAACTGGTGGGGATTCAACCCGCCACCAGATGAGGTCGCATTGGTCAACAAGCTTGCTAAACGGCCCGGAGAGCATGGAGCCGAGAAAATGCTCGTGGAAGGATTGCCACATGTCGAGGATCCTGCGGTCTTTGGTCAGGAAGCGGTGAGCGTCATGGAAGACCCTGATGAGCTGGAAGGCTCCTGGGTCCGTGGCGACATTGCCGCTGAGTAGACCCAGCCGAATGCCCGCACCTGCCTTGCCGTGGCCAAGTGCCCGAACTGCCTTGGTGCGTAGTTGAGCGATCTCTGCCCAGGGTAGCAGCGAGATGGAGACAGCGTGCAACGCTTTGGGCCAGAAGGCTTGTCGTAGTATGAGCTGCTTGATCGCTGTGGGCGATGAAGACCGCCGCAGCTTGGGCCAAAGCGGCTCCAAGGAGTCCAGTCGTGCCCGGAACGAACCGAGAGCACGCGAGCGGCAAAAGGTGAGCGCACCTCCAAGATCGGCATGGGCAAGCTCGACACGGTGACCGAGCTGTCGTAAGAAGGAACGGTCCTTGCTATTGGTAGCCCAGTAGTAGGTTTTCCCGGGATCCAGGCAAAGTGCCCAAAGATTGTAGAACTCCTCCATGACCAGTTGACCACGTAGTAGGGAGCCTACGTCCCGTGCAAGCAGCTCTAGGTTGTCCACATAGGACGACGGTATGGTGCTTGGGGCGAAGGCCGACTGATAGGCGTCCCAGATCCAGTCGATGATGCACATGCACACCACCGAGAGGGAGCATCCCTCAGGAAACCCACTGTTCGAGGTGATCTCTGTGCTGAGATGGTCCTGCACCAGGAAGTGCCGCTGAACTTGCTCCAAAAAGGCCTGCCACGCGCCCAGAGCCCGAGGTGGAAAGCCAAGAGCGGTGGCAGTTTGGAAGAAGACATCCCGCGGTATATGCTCGAAGGCTTTGCGGATGTCGGTGGTGCAGCCGCAAATGGGAAGTTGCTGTTGCAGAGCACACTCAAGGAGAGCCTGGGTGTAATACCAGAAATCACCAGTCTCCCGGCCAGGGATGAAGCCGAGGATGCCTCGTGGAAGCACCTGACTGAGCTGCTGTAGCAGACATCCTGAGCGAAGGGAGCCCCAGCAACGATAGATCATGGAGAAGACCACTATGGGTCGGTAGTGTGAAATGACGGTAGCCGCATCGTGCTTGGGGAGGGGATGGATGAACCCCTTGAGGAGTTGCTGGGGCCAGGAGGCCCCGGATTCAATGTGCGTAAGGAGCTGTAATATCTGGCGCTTGAAAGAGGCAGGCATCAGCCCGAGATCAAGATGGTCGAAGCCGTCTGGGCCGCGGGCTGATCTAGCTGCAAACTTCTTCGTGCCGAGTTCCCATGCTTCAACTGCCAGGTCGGGGCATGAAAAGGTATGCCGAGGCAGGTAAGCACGAGCGAATGCCAGGACCCGCTGCCAGGTGGCAGGATCCGGTGGATGATCCAAATTCCATCGGGCGGACCAGTACTGCTGCAGGTGGATCGCAAGCTCGGAAGGGTCAGAGACGACCCGCTCATAACGGAGTTGTTGACCGGGACAGAGCAGGAGGTCCGAGTCAACCTGGTAGGTGAAAGGGGACAGCCGTGTGACTCGTGCTGGAGAGTCCTCAAGAAGCCATCGGCCTGAGTTGTCCTCCTGCAGATCGTGGTCCAGAGCGACATGATGGGTGCGAGGATCAATGTCGGTGATAGTGGCTTCGTCTGCGAGCAGAAGCGTGGTTAGCGGCTGTCGCTCTGCTTTGGTCACATCCTGGAAGGCCTCGCGGATGTGCTCCTGACGCCTGGCCTTGAGAAGCGAGCAACGCTGACGTATGCTCCAGGACTCGAAGGAGCGGTAATTGGCCTCGAAGTCCCACCGCAGAATTTGCAGCTGTCCGATGTGAGGCAGAAGCCTAGGGAAGTCTGTGCCGGCCCCCATGGTCTGAACCGGCCGGGTTCGCCACCAGAACGTGAAACCTCCGTCGAAGCCCTTAGCCTCCTTGATGGCCTGCCAGGTGAGGAGCCTGTATTCGATGGCTGTTGGAGTTGTACTGTTGCGCTGCAGGTTGTGGTATAGTGACTGAAAGCGCCTGAGCTGGGTGAACCAACGGTGATGAGTCCGACCTAAGAAGTCGGAAGCAGGAAGAGCTTCACCCGATCGGCTAGGCCGTAGCCGGGGTGGTTGGGCCGGTCGTAGTTGTGGGGCAGAAGCCTGCCCGCGGCCTCTGTAGGAGGGTGGGAGTCGTCCCGCAAAGTTGTGCTGTAGATGTGGTCCCAGACTAGCTTCGTAGTCCCGGCCGAATTGAGCATAGAAAGAGGTGGTTGTGCCGCGCCAAGAGGCAAGGTCGTGAGGTTGGTAGTCCGTATGCTGCCATGAAGTAGAATCCAGGCTAGACCATGGAATTTTGGCCGGCAAAGGCCAGTGTAGTTGGGCAGGCAGGTGGGTTGGAATATCAAACCATCCAGTGACAGTGGAGTGGTCAGCGAAGCTGTCATGTACCTCGGCACGTTGAAAGTACTGGCGGAGTTCGGGCGAGATGTAGATTCGGTCAGGTCGTGTAGCGCCCTTGCAGGTCGGCAGAATGTCCTCCTGCGTCAAAGAGTGATGAAGGTTTTGGACTTCAGTCCAGCCCAAATTGGCCCACTCTTCAAACTCCGGAAAGTCTTCGCCATTGAAGTCTCCAGAAACGTATCGAAGACCACTGCGCCCGTAAACCAGCTCCACAGAGATCTGCTGAAGGAGGTTGCGCGTGGCTTCACGTGCACGAGGCCAAGTGGGACCAGTTGGCCAGCCATAGACGACTGTGCCGGTGATGTGGGTGTGCCCCAAGTTGAAAGAGGCAACCTGAACCCGGCCAAGCGAGTATTCTGAGTCAGGAAAAGGCACTTGCAGCCTGTACGTCGGCATGTCTCCCATCTGATAGACACCAGCCCAGGTGCCAGTCGTGAGACTCCGGGCTCGTAGTGGAACAGGGGCGCCCGGAAGGAGCCAAAGCCGTCGCTGCTGTTGTGAGGCGATGTGACGAAAGGTTTGGCAGCAAGCCTTGATCCCCGGCTGTGCCAAATGAGTCTCAGCGAAATTGAGAATCCCACGCGGGAGGCTCAAACAAATGGATTCTTTGGCCCGAAGGCCGGTCGGATTGGCGAAGGAGATCGCA